TCTACGCCATACTCAGTCGCAAGAGGCCAGTAATTCAAGTCAAATGAGAGAGGATAATGCGTTTATTCAATCGAGAAAGGAGCAAAGAAGGGCGAATGCGGAGGTTTATCAGCAGACGAATTTGCCTCGGCCGAGCATACGACAACCTTCTCCAGTACCAAGAACAAAGTCCGAGACTGGGTCTAGACCAACAATGACCTCCCGCTTAGGATCCGAAAGCCGTTTTGATAGAGGTGTTTCTAGCCCCCTCACCGTTCCAGCCGTCAAAGGAAAGCTATCTCGAAACGTTTTGAGAAGAAAGCCATCATTGATAGCTCAACATGCTGAGACTAGTCGACCTACAACAGCTAGGACAGCGACTAGCTCCCCTGCCAGCTGGGGGACTATACCGGGAGCTAAAGCTGCTCCTCAAAGTTCAATTAAACCACTGCAGCCGCGTGTTGAAACCTCACAGCAAGTTCGAAAGGATTCGTCTTCTTCTATCAAGGAAGTTTCACCACGGATCATACCAGAACTGGATAGATATCGAACAAAATCAGAACAAAATCGCGAGGACTTGAATGCTAAATTTCTCTCCAATATTCCTTACAAATTAACAACTCCCGATATATCCCCTCCTACTCCTTCGATGTCTGCAGGTTTTCTAAGTTCAGGATCCAGTCACAAAAGGTATAGCGGATACAGTGGCAGTGGATACAGTGCAAGCCCTTCTACGCGGTTTTCTGGATCCCCAGGTCCAAGCGCTTACAGCAGAGATACCACTCCGACTTCTATGTCATCCGTATCACCTAGCATCTTCGTGCCGTTTAAATCTAGTATTCCGAACCGCAGAGGCAGTAGTCCCGCCAGGAACCAGCTACCTCTTACCAGAAGACGCGAGAGTGATGCATCAAACGAGCTTAATAACGCAGTTGCTGACTCACGTGAACTTCCCTCGTTGCGGGAGTCTGTCAATTCCTCATCATCTAATTCAACAGTCAAGGCTGAAGGAAAGTCTCTGGATAAGGTACATAAAAATAAAAAGTCCTTGTCTTCTCTTCCACCTAGTCCACCACCTCGTAAGTCTTCTCATCAATTTAAGAAGTCGGCTCAAGGAAAAATATCACCTACCGGGGCAAGCCCAAACCCACTACACACGGGAACTACTCTCCCTCCAGAAGCATCCCCTCAAAGATTACAGGCTCCATTGCCGGAGGCGAACGACAGGCCCTCACCCCCAAGGAGGCCTAGTAGAGATGGTGCTCCGGATCTAAGATCACAAATTGGAGATTTTGCAGTACTTCAAAGTAACTTCACCGGCGTAAATTATACGCATAGCAAAAGTAACAGTATTTCTTCCCAGAGAGCAGCTTCATCTCCTCTTCAAACTTCAATGACTCCAGCATCACGAGAGACTTCGCGGAATCCATCCCCAACTCCACTCCAGCCTCTCCACCGGGATCCTACTCCCGCACCAACTGGCCTTGGAATAGTTCCGCATCTCAGGCCGCCTTCTCGAAGTCATATCACTCGTACTCCAAGTCCAAGTGTCGACAGCGGAAGGCACCGCTTTGGACTTTTTGGTCGAAGGACAAAGACGGCCCCTGAAATCACGACTGTTCCCGTAGAAAAGTCCCAGAAGAAAGGACCAGCTGCAGGCACCGGCCATGAAGGTTATACAAGATATGCCCTGCGTGGCCGTAGCACTACTAGAGTAGTTACAGGAAAGCCTCGAGAAAGAAGCTTAAGTGGAGCTCCGGTTTCGAGAGACCAACCCGATACCACGGATCCATTTTTCAGAGATCGAATGAGCCCTGTCATCATAGCTGGTGGCGGTGCAATAAAGGAGAATCGTAATTCTATCTCTGAAGTCGTCAGTCGTACAGATAGTAACACCAGCCTCCCTCCGTTAGCTAAGAATATTTCTCAGACTAGTTTGGGTCAAAAGAGAGCGAAAGCTGTTTTGCAACCGTCAGCTATTCCAAGAGAAAGCAATGAGCGGGCTTCCGCTACAGGCGTCTCAAAATCTAGAAGACCTTCCGACAGTCAGGATGAAGATCGTTCAAAGACACCGTCCCTTGCATTCCGAAGGTCAACCCAGCGTCTTAATAATTCGACTAGTGCCATTAATATCCCAAAATCACTTAATATCACAACAACGGAACCTTCATCCTCGATCAGCAGTTTAGACCCTAGTTTAACGTCTGGAGAATCACAATTAGAGCTAAAGACTGAGACCGAGCGCGGAAGACAATCTGAACCAGTTAAGCCGAAGAAACCGGAGAAGCGTGCAAGGTCACCTAGGAAATGGAATATCTTTCATCGACAAGCACCAAAAGTAGAGACCGAGATTAAACACGATGCGGTGCACGTTTCCATCGGCAGACAGCCTGTCAAACCGATACCCCATTACGCTATGTTTGAATTTTCCGATGAGCCAGAAGATACCGACAGTGTGGACTTGGCGGAAATTCTCAGAGATTCAGATGTCGTAGAACTAACCGACGAGCAATTGAATGAACTTAAGTTTAGCAATTATAAGGAAAATATCCGACGTATCGAGGAACTTCAGACAGCCATGGCGCCTTCGCTTCCCCAGATGATACCAGCAACTATTGCTTTCTCACCACTTGAACTAATGATGCCCTCACCACCTGAAGTCCCTCAGACTCAAACGGAACCTCCTCACACTCAAACAGAACCCCATGTTCAAATGGAAGTGCCTATTCGACCAAGTCGTCTTCAACAAGTTGGCCGAATCCCGAAAGTCGTTTCTGCACGACCTGAAACTACCTCTCCGATATCTTTCTCGAGACCATTTGCACGGTTAAGCACGATACAACCTACGACGAATTTACCTTCATTTGACATCAACTCGGTTGCTTTGGGAGCAAGTCCAACAAACTTTTCTAGCCCTGGAAGCTATCCAGCACTGTTCAATAGCCCATCATCCTACCAAGGAGAATTCCTCGCCTTTTCGCCAAGAAGCTCTCCCAGGAATAACTCCACAGCTACGACGAGTAGTTCCGGCACAATCAACTATGCTGATATAACGGCGATTATTCCCGAGCCTGACGCAGAATTAGCAGAAGATGAAGTTTGGGATGAATACGATGACTTAATCGAAACAGACGACAATACAAAACAGCCACGCGTCGTTTCTACAACATCATCTCACGGTGTTCCATTTCAATATGAATCATATCAGAGCCCATCTACCCGCTATCTTAACCCAAGTCTTCAAGCTTCTTCTTTTTCAAATCGCGAATTGCCCGAAATTCTACGTCGAAGATCAGCTATTACGTCTATATCGTCGAGTTGCTATAGCGTCGACATTGATACCACTATCAAGGTTGAAGAAAAAGACACATTAAATGCTTTCACATCACCCACCACTCAAGTGACCTTCTCTGATTTCCTAAACGACTTGGGTGGACTTAACAATTCCATCCATTCCACCACATCTCAACGACTCTCGGCAGCCGAATCACGAAAATCCGGTTCCTCCAGTGATACATCTCGGATTTCAGGAGCTAGTCTCTTGAGAATCGAATCCGAAGAAAGTAATTCTCCAGTTTCGCAGGTTAATTTGAGGGTGGGGAGTATGAGTGTTAGTAAATGGCTTACATTTGGAAATGTACTATTCAGTCCGGCTAGAGATGAGGTAGGCAATTTGATGGATGGACCTACGACAAAATGCCATTCCATTTTGGTAATTGATGGTCTTGGCAATGGTATGTAAACCCGACAAAATTATTGTATCATGGAGCTAACACATATCTAGACGACTGGTCTTTCTACGCTGCCGAAACCTACCCAACCTGTACCTTTTACAACCTATCTCCCTCCTCTCCTCCTTCCGCCAACACCCAAAATCCTGCCTATCTCCTTCCACCCGCTAACCACCGTCAAATACCTTTTGCTCCCTTCACCACCACCTCAAATTTTCCCTTTCCTTCATCTACCTTCAGCACTGTAATTTTCCGCTTCCCGTCCTCCCTCACAACCGATACCTACAACCATATCCTGTCGGAATCGCGACGAGTACTCAAACCCGGCGGATATATTGAAATCACGCTGCTCGATTTAGACATGTTGAATATGGGACCGCGGACTCGCCGTGTAGTGCGTGGTTTGAAAACGAGATTAAAGTGTCGGGATGAAGGAGTCGTGTTGGGGAGTTTGGGCGATGTTGTTCTTAGAGGACTGGGTGCAAGAGGATTTGGGGATGTGAAGAGTTGTCGAGTAGGAATTCCAGTTGCGGGAGTATTGGAAAGGGTAAAGAGTGCTGATGAGAAAGGAAAAGAACGAGCAGGAGGGAAAAAGCAGGCGGAAAAAAGACAAAAAGACACTCGCAGTCTCGCCGAGATGATGAAAGATGAATCGGAATCCGCTGATGAAAGTATCACACGCATGGTTGCCAAAGTGGGAAGGTGGTGGTATATGAGATGTTATGAATTTTCTTTAATTTCATCTGCATCGGCATCAGAATCAGCATTCAAAAAAGAGTCCAAAAAAATAGGAAAAGGAAGGAAAGAAAAAGGAAAAGAAGCGAATAGCATCTTTGCCGATATAAAAATTCTAGACGAATGCGAGAAGTGGAATACCAGTTTCAAATTGGTGGTTATTCATGCGCAAAAACCGGTGGTGGTTAGGAGGAGAACTAATAGTCTTTGAGTGAGCTTATTGTCGGTGTTGATGCTTACTCCTTACATCCAAGGAGAATATGGGAAGATGGAAAGATGAGGTTGCATGGTCTAGGTATAATGAACGGAAAAAGATATATCCATGGGTGCGAACCCAATTTTTGTTTGTACAGAAGTCTTTAAAGTTTCTATTCTTGATATGTCACGGGTTGGCTATTTGCGATGCGGATCTGGGATTTGCTGATTTGGGTTTGGGTTTGGGTTTTGGGGAGGGGGAAGAAAGTGAGAAGTGAGAGAGCTTGGGTTTATGGATTTATGATTTATGATGAGCTTATGAACTGAATTGAATTGAATTGAATTTTGGCTTTGTGGATGGATGGATGATGTTTGGGTTGGTGGGTTAATTTTAATAGGTGGATGAGGGAAAGAGGGTGATGGGAGGAGAAGGGGGGATAAGGAGGATGAGAGATAGGAAGAAGGCGAGGAGAGGGGAAAAGAGTAGGGGATGAGTGACCTGGTAGAGGGGGAGAAAAGAATGCTATGTGTATTTAGATACCCGTTCGTTAGCAGATAATTATATGTATATATAAATATACTATTCAATTGAATTGGACAATTCACTTGATTTTGTGTTTGTGAAAATATTAAAATTTACGACTTTGAGTAAGATTATTAAACTCACCTCTAATTACCTAGGTATGATTAAAAAAGTAATAATAACAATACTGTGACGGAAAAGTCGTGAACGGAGTCAATTCAATTACTTAGAATCTAAAACTAAAGAACTAAGAGGATTCTAAGTAAGAAGGTCTTTATATACAGGGCTAGTGCACGTGAGCCACTAGTGGGATAACAACCGTCACGTAACAAATACTTAAAGATAAGTTTTATATATAGATCAAAAGAAACTCAATAAAAAATCCATACTCAATAACTATTAACTAGAGTAGGAAAAATAAAACCTTATTTACATCTATTTATTCATTTTTATTCTTCTTGGTGTGACGCCTCACACCTTCGGGTCACGTGGCATGCCCCGTTTGTATTTAATCACAGGAAAACTCTCTACTCTTGTTTTCCTTCTTCTTTTCTCCTTAGCTTAGTATTTTCTAATACAAGATACTTTACCCAGTATTCTTGAGTGTGAAAAAATCAACCCAATCAACAATCTGGTAATCCCTATCTACGAGTAATGTAAGAGAATTCTATCAGGTCGAACCTCCAAGAACCATTTGACTACCCCGGAACACTACAAACTACCTCTCCATACCTCACCCAAACCCAAACCCAAACCATCTCCCTCCCAACATCACCCTCACCCTCACCTCAACCCTCACCTCAACCCCCACCTCCTACTTAAAATCCCAATTACCCCCCGCCCACTCCCTCAAAACATTTTTCTTCACCTTCCCCGTACTCGTCTTCGGCAACTCCTTCACCACAAAAACCTCCTTCGGAACCATAAATCTACTAATACTACTTTCCTCCTTCGCCCATTTAACGACATCTTCACCTTTAAGTTTATTTCCCCCTGTTTCTCCATCTCCACCTCCATCCCCATCCCCATCCCTAACTGTAACAAAAGCTACCGGAACCTCTCCCCACTTCTCGTCCTTAACCGCCACCACACCCGCCTCTAGAACTTTCTCATGTTGCACTAGCATCGCTTCCAAAGCTACGCTACTTATATTCTCACCGCCACTAATAATGATATCCTTTGCGCGGTCCAGAATCTGGGCACTTCCATCCTCGTGCCAAACGGCTAGATCACCACTATGTAATGCACCACCGGCGAATAATTTTGCCGTTGCTTCTGGATCGTTATAATATTCCTTTGCACAGATATTTCCTACAAAGATGATTTCACCGATTTCTTTACCGTCGCGAGCTACATCTATGAGTTTGTCGGGGGGTTGATCGGGTTTAATAATGCGAATGTTGAGGGAAGTGAGAAAACCATGGCCTTGACGAGCCATGCGGGCGTATTTTTCTTTCTGGGGTAGATCTTCCCAGATGGGCATGTGATAGCCTTTTGTAATGGGACCGTAGGTTTCCGTCATACCATAAACGTGAACTGGGATGAGATTGAGGTTTGTCATGGTTTCGAAGAGATGAGCTGTAGGTGGTGAAGCGGCGACTGTGACGCGGACTGGATTTGGGAGTTTGGTTGCTTCTTTTGAGGCGCAGAGGAGTGTGTTTACTGTAGGTGCGGCATTGAAATGGGTAATGGGTTGGGATTTTAATAAGTTCCATATTAAAGGGTAGTCGATTTTGCGGAGACAAAAATGGGTACCTCTGACGGCTGTTACAGCCCAAGGAAAAGTCCAACCAACTGCATGGAACATAGGGAGTGTCCAAAGATATCCACATCTTCCTTTGTGAAAATTCAATCCCGATTCCACCACATTCCCCAAAGACGCAAGATAAGAACCTCGATGCGTATATACCACTCCTTTTGGTTTCGCCGTCGTACCACTCGTAAAAGGAATTGCAATCGTAGCATCCTCATCATCAGCCTGCGCATGTAATCCATCCCATCCCTTTCCTCCAGTCTCCCCGTCATATCTCAAACCCTCCAAAACCGCTTCATCAAATTCCCCTTCATCTTTATCGGTATCCTCATCAACAATAACCCTAACACCTTTATTCCTCTCCCTAAACCCCTCTAATAATCCCACAAACTCCCTATCCACAATAATACAATCCACCCCGGCAAACTCAAAAATGTAAATAACATCCTCCTCTTTTAACCGATAATTAACCCCTACATGTATACCTCCAGCAGCCGCTACACCAAATATACTTTCGAGAAAAGCAGGAGTATTCGGACATAATATCCCTATGCGAGAGAGTTTTTGTTTTTTGAGATAATATGCTAAACCACGAGAACGATCTGCAAATTCTTGATATGATCGTATAATTGTTTGTCCATTTGCTGTAACGTGATGGATAGCTGGGGCATCAGGTTCAATGGCTGCTGCGCGAGGAAGGAAAAATGTAGGTGAGAGGGTATGAATGTGATGTTTTGGGGCCGGCGGTGACGCAGGAGTTGCAGGAGATGTTGTTGATGCAGAAGAAGGTAATAAATGATTAACCAAGCTTTGAAGCCTAGAAGTAGGACCCGACATATTTGCTTTTAGTCTAGTTGGCCACGTATAGTTTCGATGGTTTAACTGGTGTTGGTGGTTGAATAATCTCGTCGATCTGTCTGCTCTAGACAGCTTCACAATCCCTCGAACTCCGAAAAAGTAGATAAGTCCGCACTGAAGCTTTACCTCGAGTATAAATCGTTGACCGTCTGCTTCAAAATCCACTCAAACGAATCCAAATTCGCCGTCGCCGTTCCGTGAGACTGTAATCCGTACTGTCCCTCTCCACTCAATCGTCCAATACGTATATCAATCGATAAACAACCTCAATAACCTCAATAAATCAACCTCAACCTCACTCACTCAGTCACTCACCCAGCCCTGATAACATAAACAACTCAAATCCGATCCCGATCTTCCAATCAACCAATGAATCAACCCAATCAATCAACCCAATCAATCAACCCAATCAATCAACCCAATCAATCAACCCAATCAATCAACCCAATCAAACCAAAGTCAATCAATAGCAATGATGCAATCCCCTCAAAAGAATCAATCAATCACCACCACTCAAACGAACAAACAAGCACTACAACTCTCTACTCGATACTGTATTTTCGGAATTCAAAAAGTAGGTAAGAAAAGCTCCAACTACCTTTTACCAAAACCCAATAAGTTAAATAACCACCGCCGAGTACCTAAAACCCTGTAGCTTAATAAATAGCTCCAACAAATACGTAGTAAATAGATAGAAAGAAAGAAAGTTCCCGCACAACAATAGCTAGCTAGCTATAGTAGGTAATCAATAATGTCATACCTACCCCACAAACCCAACCAAAAAAGGAATAAATTCCGCTTCCCCTCCCTCCTTCCCGCCCCCCGCTCGGCCCATCCGGCTTCGGGTATCCGGAGATTCCATCTGGTTTATTTCATCTACTTACTTCATCTAGTTTACTACCTGCTACTTACCTTACTTCATTGTACATACACACATACACACATACACACATACACACATACACACATACACAGCATACTTGACTCATGGATATTTCAATCAATCAGATGCATGATTTTCGGGGAATCAAATGGATAGAAGTAGAAATAGAAAATGGAAATTAGGTGAATGAATCTCACTTCAATCAGACAGAGGAGCATAAGCGGTAGACAATCTCAATCATTGGAAGTTTATAAACCTAGAAATCTTTGGTCTACCTACTGGGTATATCTGTCAAGCTGTTAAAGGTATCCATAAATTACATCATGATGATCTTATCATCAAACTCTCTCCAAAACACTGCCATGTGCTCTTTGAATTCACAAAGAATTAAAGTAACTTGTACCAAACCGATGCTCATTCATAAACTGTAGCTAATGGATTTCATTATTAATTTTCACAATTCCACTTCCGTTTCCACAATGACCAAACGCAATGTGTTCATTTTTGATTCATGCCTTGGGCTTCTCATTTTGCTATGAACTGCATGTAAGCCGAAGCAATACACATCAAAGTTCCTTGCTGCATCAGACTCCTTGTTGACGTAGCATTTCCCAATATCGTGTATGGTAAATGAATACCAGGCCCTGAGATCTTCCAATAATTGGTCGAACAAAGCATTGACGTTGTTATTGTTGAAAAGAAGAAACCGTTTAAACAACCCAATCCATCCACCCAGCAGCGCAAAATCACATCAAATAAGGTCTAGGATATTTAGTATCCGAGAGCAGCCAACTCAGACTTGGTCTTATCATCGATCTTAGCGGACTTCTGGGCTTCTGAGAGCTGCTTGCGTGCTGCCTTCTTGCGTTCGTAGTATGCTGCGCTCTTAACCTTTCTTCTCTCCTCAAGTCTGTGATGATCCGTATTAGTATCCAACTCTGAAATCCGTCAACCCAACTCCAATAAATTCACTAACCTAGCAACAACATCTTGGTATTTCCATCCAACCTCGTGGCTCAATCTACCGACAGTGCAGTATTTGCGTCCAGGCTTCAATCTCAACACTCTCAAGGCTTGGGGAACGACAACGCGCTTGACTTTGTCGTATGGTTGTGGAACACCCTCGAAAACCTTAAGTCTCTCCATGGCAGCGGCACCACGGGCAGTCTTGTGAGGAATCATACCACGGACGGTCTTGTAGAAGATTCTGGATGGGGCACGGAAATGGAAAGGACCTATTCGAAGAAAGTCAGGATATCTCCCATGTATCGAATGCGATCAATTGCAATCGCGATTGACGGGGTTTGAAATCTTACCTCCACGGGTTGGATTGTATCTGGTCATCTTTCGGAGGTAGGCGTGGTACTTGACTATTATCGAAATTGAATCAGCCTTCCATCATTTTATCCATTCCATTCATGCGCAACATCGAATCCATCATATTCAACTCCATCGCAACTCAAATAAAGGTAAAACGTACGCTTCGCACGGAAGAACTCTCCGGAGATGTTCAAGGCCTCACATCGTACAACGACGATCTTCTGGCCGTTAAGCAACTGCTTTGCAACAGTGCTTGCGAGTCGACCAAGAAGGTGACCCTTGGCATCGATCGTGATCTAATAGAAGAAGTCCAACATCAGCAATTCGTTCCTAGTCGTCTTCCATCTTGTCGCTGAACCCAAAAGTACTATTTCCCATCGTGTTTGTCGCGAAATATTGAATTGTGTGTTGGTTGCCATAGATAAAGGATTGAGCACTTACGACTGGCTCGAAGGTCGACATTGTGTCCTGGGTAAAATGTCAGAATGAATCCGAAAGGCGTATAGAAAATCAATATGCTCTACCTTCGTTATTTGGTGAGGGCGGTGTCGTGTTTTGTCGGTTGGTCGTTGTCTTCAAATTCCCTCGCGGTGGATGAGATTCTCCAAATTGACACTGGTTTTCGCGCTAAAATATTAGCCGAGTCCCAGGTCTAACAACCCTAATTTGAAGCAAAATTGAAAAGAATTATTTAATGAGTGAGGCGAAGTAAAGGTGGTGAAGAAATCAATTAATTTTCTCAATGGCAATGTCTATTTGATTTTATGTTGAATGTTGAATGTAATGTACTCGGATTATATTTGTTCTTGTATCATTGAACAATATGAAGTTGAAGATAATTTTTGAGGTTGCGGTTACAGCCTTGTCATTTTCACCGTTGACCGATTTCAACAAACCCCTTCATATCAATCAAGCCTCGCCTTGCAAACCCCAGATTTATTTGGTTCTACTGGAGCTACAACCTGAAATTACTGCTATGATGAATACGTTGAATATATCGAATATAGGTAGTAGGTGGCATTTGGATCTCATTTGGCAAGTCTTACATTTGAGCAAATGGCGATTCCATTAACTGTGCATGATGTAATGAATCTCCTGGATTTGTTAACATGATTTTGAAGTTAGTAGTTAGTAGTTAGTACTTTAACAGTGGGGAAATCCAAGTCTACTGTTGAATAGTCTTTAAGCTATTTTGAAGCCGTCGATTCATGAATATGCTAGGCAGGTAAATGCAAGCCTGCGGTAGATTCTAACTGTAGCACGCCATTATAGAACAACATAAATCGGTACCAAATACCTACCAGTAAAGGCATAGAGCAATTCCGTTCGGCTGCAAGCAAACTCGAGCTTGAAAATCACATGTAGCAAAACGCAAAGGAGTAACAACGCAACACACCGAAATTTTGATATATCTTCAATTCTCCTACTCTCTCTCTAATATAACACAGCCATATGGCATGCAGATGCATCTCCAACGGACCAAAAAGCATGTAATATCATGCTTCATGCTGCACTCGGAATGATCAGCCCTCTCGCATCTTTCCCCTGTGACAATGACGCTCACCCCTGTACTTCGTTCAAAACCCCTCTTCCCCCGTCAACAATTTATTAATACTCATACTATCTATGAAAGACGCCATGCAAAACCTCGCAAACTCTGCAATAAATGATCCTCTAAAATCAAAGAAGCCCCATCACACCCAGTATATGCATAGCATCCCGATAGAATAAACTTCATAAATGCAAGCACAAGATCGATACATTTTCGATGCATAAGGAAGCCGGACTCGAAACCAAAAGAATCGTTCCACCTTCAAACAGGGTATAATAACCGGAACAAAGATCTTATTCTGCACCAGGAACCTTGGAATCAATACCAGCCAAGACAGCATACGCTTCCTTCACCAGAGCTTTCCTAGTTTCTCTGGCTGTTTGGTCTCCCTCTATCGCATCCAACTTCAAGAGTACCTGTCCCATGATCGTCTCACTCAACTTCTTGTGTTCGAAATCCCTTTTCTTTTCTTCTTCTGGGGGATTTGCTATAAATGCTTCTGCTAATGGGACGATTTCGGAATGTAGGTAGTGGGAAATAGCATTTAATTTCTCCATTGGGGTTTGGGGTGTTGAAGGTGGAACTGGTGAAGCTGTTCTAGACGTCGTAGATGAATCCATTTGTGGTGCTTCGAGGTTGTGATTGCTCTTCTTCTTTCCCTTCTTATTTTTCGACTTGCGAATTCGTTTTCTGATCTTAGATGCAGTTCCTTCTTGAACTTCATCACTGTCATCTCCTGAATCTTGACTCCCAATTGCTACATCCCCGACATTGCAAAGAATCTCCGATTCATTTCTTAAACCGTAGCTTCGACAATGTGCATGATCATCCTTCAATTTTTCTCCCTTGTAAACCAATTCCAACTTCCTCCAATTCGAAACATCCATCAATGCCGCGGCTCGCTTCCTTACATCGCTCACTTGTAATTTTCCATCCCCAATACTGTAGGCTGGAAATTTGACTGGGTAGGTGATTCCCTTGTGCTTCACCAATAGCACATCATCTTCCAATTGTGCAGAAGGAGGTGATCTCGAATGTGGATCATAGGTTCTCCTCGGTTCTTCCAAATCCTCACTGGTAATGTATTCAAAATCCTCATCCTTTACTTGCGGCGGATTACTTCGACTCGAGAAAGGACTCAAACGACTGGTACCACCGCTGAACCAACTATTTCCCCAGCGACTCATACTCACAGTAGCTGCAAGGATAACAAAAACACTACCCGCTAATGCCGTAGGAGGAACCCGATCGATATGGGTAAATTTGGCAGCTTGTCCGATGTACGCTTGAGCGGGTTCAGGCAGTTGCGAATAGACGGATTGGAGATGGTGAGAAGTGATATCGAGATAGCTTTGGAGAGAATCGGGAAGATGAGGAATGGCAGAAAATAGGGTGCCACCTTGCGAGACGAGATCGCGGGAAGCCACCTTGTCTGATTTTTATCTAGTCCTGTGGAAGGGACTTTTTTCTTCTTTTTCTTTCCTTTGAGAAACTTGCGATTATTGTGATATGAGCGGACTTTCGAAATATGTGGCCCACGATGTAGGGTTTAAGGTGGGGTAATCGAATTGACTCGTATGCTGAGGCTTTGAATGACGAAGCTCGAAGCTGATGGAAGGACCAAAGAAATTGTTTACCGGTAGTGCAATTGATGAATGGATCAACGTTGTCTTTTTCATGCAAACTTTCTTGTTAAGTTGATTGAGGGAGAAGAATCCCAAATGGAGAGTGGATAGCGGTGAAGTACCGGCCGGTGCTTGTAGCCTTAACCAAGCGACTGACAAGTTCTAATTCAAGGCCTTGAAAAAAGTCAAAGCCTCAAAGGAAATATCAGAGAGTTTACTTTGTATGTCTTGGGTCTAAATCTTTGATACAAATGATGTAGTAGGATCGGATTTCTACAACGGGAAGATCTTGTTCGTTGTCACTAAGAAGTAGGTAAGATCTTACCTTCCAGTACCTGTCCTGTCCCGTCTAAACCCCATATCAAATCCTACCAGAACTGCAAAATCAATGAATTGAAACATGTAGCTGAAGATTATCCGCATACTTCAGTCTACCTACCTATCAAACAGCCAAATCAATCATTCTATCCATCCATTCCCAATAAATCCCAGGGCTTCCTTTCTTCCCTTCTACAAGTTATGCGTGCCAACACATGTTTCCAGTACTGTGTAGATCAATGGCAAGTATGCTATGCTATGCTTTGCCTCACTTTTGCATGAATTCGGGTTGTGTACGCTCCGTAAAGTATTACTCAATCAAAAGTCTTGATTGCTCAATTTACTTTTGGCCACGGAAAGATCATTCGCTCGATACCTACTCTGTATATTGATTTGTAGTCTTTGCTGACAAAGACTATTGGATCGTAAGTTCTCACCTCAGTCCTCGAATACCAGTACAGTACTCGAATAGAAATACTGCTCCATAATCTCTATGTAATCTCCACAGATTCATGCTCTCAGCATTTCTGTACGGATCACTACCATGCCGATTCTGTTTGACATTATGGAAGTAGGAAGTTGTAGCTGTGCACTCTATATATAGGTAGGTACTTGATCAAACCAAAATCTCCCATCATAGGTACCTACCTACCTAATATCACTAGTCATCAAAACAATGAACCTACTAGACGGTCCAATATTGAGCCGATTGTTTAAGAAGAGCGCGTCTCTCTCGAATATACCGATACTCCGTCGAGTAGTTCCATAACTCCTTCTGATCCCAGCTGATATTGACTCCCCTCTCAATTTCATAATTGTGATAGCTCTTACCCTGCCAGTGACGCAATTTCCCAATAATAATAATAATAATAATAGGTAGTCATTCAGCACATCCACATCCACCCACATCCAGTGTCCACATCCATCCATCCATCCATCCATAATTCTTCTTGCATACGTCCTACCTCCAAACAATCACATCACCATCTAGAACCTCCCCGCCAAACAAAAAATTGCTAATCAAACCCCTCCTCACAAATCAACCCTCAACCCTCCACCAACCACCAAAAACATCCTCACACTCCGGAACTCCCCAAAACACAAACTTCGAAATTCACATATAAAACAATCAACTTCCCACCTGTAGACCTAGGTACAACAGGTCTTTTACAATTTGCCCATCATTAATATCTTTCGTCGTTTTTTTACTACTTCTCCTATTACCGCCGCGAGAATGTCTGCTGCTCAAACAAAGACTGATAGCATTATTGCTGAGAATGCTGTTGGTATGTATTTCCTTTCTCTTTTCATATTCATATTCATATTCATCTTTATCTTCATTTGGGATTCTGTTACGTTCCACACAAATCAATTTACCCTCCTCTTGGAATATGATAAAGTTGTATGAAAATACTTGAAGATATTGCAGATGATGCCTCTCGAGTGAGATCTATTATCCTGTACTTCTATGATTGGGATACAATTATACACTTAGTTAAGGATGAAAAAAATATATATTAAGAGATAGCTAACAAACCTCGATAAATAGCCGTATTCAGTAAATCTTACTGCCCATACTGCAAAGCTACCAAGCAGCTTTTGAATGATTTAAACGCTAAATACTACTCCATCGAATTGGACCAAGTTGGTACGTTCTCCCTTCCCTCTTCCCCTACCTCTACCTCTATCTCGCATCACTCAACCCCGCACAATTTCCTAACACAATCCATAGACGATGGATCCGCAATCCAAGCCTACCTCAAAGAAAAAACAAACCAAGGTTCCGTTCCAAACATCTTCATCGGCCAGAAACACGTCGGTGGTAACTCGGATTTGCAAGCCAAGAATAAGAAGGAGCTCGAGGCGCAGTTGAAGGAGTTGAATGTTATTGTTGCGTAAAGGGTACCGGTGTAAGCTGTGGAAGAGAAGATATGATATCGGGTTAGGGGAGTTGATTAATTTGTTTGATGGATGGGATGGTTGGTTGGTGGTTATAGAATTATTTCTTTGGTGGGTTTATAGGATTGATTGAATGAATAAATGAATGAATGGAGAATTTGATTTGATTTGATTTGATTTGATATGATACATGAAAGTTCATTTGTGATGTTTTTGTTAGGTGGTATCTCATGCCATGCCATGCTATGCTATCGTTTCATGTCATTATATCCATAATCATACAATCATGTAATACACTATAGTACAATACATTGCAATACAATGCAAACCCCGCCTCCAAGCGCATCCTCAAACATGAACCTGACCCTCCACTGTCCCAACCGGTCTCTCTACAAACCCCATAACCCCCTCGATAATATTCCTCCTCGCCTCCTCACTACTAACATTCTTCCCCGCCAAATACCCCAACCAAATCCCCCTACTAACCCTCTCATCACGCACCTCCCCAAGCCTCCTAATCCCCCTCTCCCCCTCCTCACACCACACACTCAAACGACCCTCCACATCCCTATTTAGCAATAACTCCCTCCCCTTCGGTACACTCCCCCTATTAAACAACGCCTTAAACTCCGCAATACTCCGCCCAAACAACTCATCTCCGAATTCATCTCTATTTCTCTGTGCACGCGCTGTTAGACTGCGTACCCATGCGTCTCTTAGATGGTGGAAATCTGTATTGCGCGTAGGTACGATGCGGATTATTGTTTTCAGACCAGCGGTTTGCAGGATATTGGTCCAGATTTCTTCGCTGTCGGTTTCGTGCAGGAGCTGCTTTTTTAAGAAGTCTTTTTCCCCGGCGACGAGGGTGGATGCTCCGCTGTTTGGTGGACTGGCTTTTTCTATTAGGCGGGATTGGAGGAGGGGGATGGAGGATTGCTGGATGTAGAGTCCTATGACGTAGACTTGAATGTTGAGGAAGGAGACGGTGCGGATTCCGAGACCGAGGAGCTGGTAGGTTTCTGGAGGGGTGTCTGGGGAGGAGGAGTGTTGGATGTATTTTGGGAAGGTGGGAATGGTGCTTGTCCCTGTGGGAATGAGTTCGTGTGGTTCTGAGGGGGTCGGTGGTGTGGATTCATGTGGTTTTTGGATGATTACTTCTGTGCTGCTGTGGAGGGTGTCGTGGGCGCGGGTACTGTCGAGTTTAGCGGGTTTGAGGTCGATTGAGGTTGCGGTTACCCAGATGCAGATCATGCCGGTGAGGAAGCCGGTGGCTAAATAGATGGTGCGCCGTTTTTGGTGCGCGCGCTGGGTGGCCTCGAGGCGGTGCAGGGTGATGGCGTCGAGGTGCGGGGTTGGCGTTGCGGGTTTGTGGGTTAGAGTGCGGAGATGCGTGCGTATTGGGGTGAGGCGTTGGCATTGTGAGCGTGGGAGAGTATGGAGGATGCGGGGGGTTCGAGGGAGGAAGGACATTTTGGTGGGTGGTTGTGGTGTGTGTTTTGGAGGTGGGAGATTGGGGATGAATATGGAGATAATGGATGAAGAATGATGGGCAGTTTTTGAAGATGGTCTGAGGATGGAGCTCGCGTATGGAATACTAACTGCTAGGTAAGGTAAGGTACCAGGTAGATAGAGTATCTAAGCTTTAGTGGAAAATCTGGGGAAAAGCTAAAATTTCGAAATCATAATGATGATAATAATAATAAGTTGTTGATTGATAGGTTAGCTTGCAGGGGTTTAAATTGTGGTTCATGATCTTTTAGATCTTTAGCTACCTAGGTAGGTAGGTATACTTCTGTCATGATTCACCATTAGGATTAGTGTCCTAGGATAAAAAGAAATCACGTGATAAGGAGCCTTAGGAGCCCTCAAAGCTCCTGGGGGCTCCCTTTATTGTTCATTATGTAGTCAGAATAGTTTCATAGTTTAGGAGCTTCGTGCTCAACTTAGTTATCAATTAGTTTACCTACATTCTACTTGATCTAGTAACGACTTCACTTCCAAGTGAATACCAGTGATAAAGCCTTAACCCATAACTACCAACCAGACGAAACCTTAGGCAGCCGCTGCCTCCAGTACAGTATCGTTGTGACGCCCCACACCTCAGGGTCACGTGACACACCCCGTTTGCATTTAATCACAGGAAAACTCTCTACTCTTGTTTTCCTTCTTCTTTTCCCCTTAGCTTAGTATTTTCTAATACAAGATACTTTACCCAGTATTCTTGAGTGTGACATAATACTAAGCTCATCTTACACTCTTTCCCATACGCTGGGAAGTAAAAATAATTGCGTATAGACCACGAACCTACAAATCTACGAACCCTGAAATTTACGTATCGATAAAATCGTAATTGATTATCACACTCGAATCCTGAACCGAAAGAAACAAACACAGAATTGATCTCGAAATGGCAACTCAGAAATCCCCAGCTCCTCACGAAGAACAGGAGGAGGAACACAACATTGTTCCCGATCTCCCTGAATCCGTCAGTCAAGGCAAGAGAAGAGAACACAGACTCCTGAATGCACTTGATGCAGTCGATCAGGGCCTCTTGCCAGACATGGTTGCAGAAGCCTATAATTTCTTGTTTGGAAGCGTTGCTGAAGACTTTGAACGATATCTCCTGGCGGACTTGCTATCTATTAGCAACGAGATAGCAAGATAATCCGACGAAATATACATAGATCAACAGCACTATTAAAAGGAGATAGCCTCGATCAAAAGACAACACAATCGTTTAGCTGCTCAGAACATAGAGATATCACAAAGCCTCTTAGAAGCAGAATAGAACGAGGCTGAGTACGAAAATCGGATCACCAGCTTCGAGGCAGAGATCGTTGACCTTCGTAAAGCCCAATCAACAACGTCGCCCCAACCCGCCTTCAAGATCCCAGACCCTGAGTTCTTTGAGAATTCCTCCATCGCTATCTCTTGGGAACAATGGAAAGATAAAATGATGAACAAGATTCGTGCTTTTGGAAACTCCGATCCCATCGTACAATTGATGTATATATATAATCGTTTGAAGGGACCTTTTATTGAGCAGATATAAGCTTGTTATTGCATTGATGCTTTGAACTCTTACACTAGTATCGAAGAGATCTTTGTTACTTTGGAAGGTATCTACAGGGACCCCAATAAGAAACAGAACGTCCAACGTAAGTATAATGCTTTATATCAGAGAGGTCGGCTGTTCTTTAAGTTCTATGCTGAGTTCTAATTGTATATGTCAATTGCTGAAATCACTGACCAGGACCAATTACTGGAAGATCTGATCTACAAGTTGAGCAACGAACTCAGCGATAAGATGATCACCTCCTATACAACTACTTTAACTGAATATGTAAAGGATTGCCAAAAATTCGATTATCTTTTGCAGCAGCTAAAGCCCGCCAAATCGTATGTGGAAACCCGTAAAGGCACTTACCGAGGGACCACTATCCCTTCCCCCTTTTTCGCCCCTAAGATACAAATGAAGTTCGAAAACCCGGTTGTGCTCTCTATCAGCAAAACCCCTGTTAAGAATCGCCCTGTCTATGACGATCCTGCTCGGCAAGCGTTCAGTCGTGCTGGTGCCTGCTTCCGCTGCCATCTGCCAGGACATTTAGCCCGCGACTGTCTTAACAAGATATAAGTGATCGATATCGATAAATCGGATGAATCGGGAAAAGAAACCCCTTAAGGGAAGACTCCTCCTTAAAAGCTCTACAAATCGGGAAACTCGATATCGATCTGTATCAGAAGAAAAAGAGGAACTTTGAATTCCCATATACTATAGAAAAAAACGGGATAACCATCTCTGCTTTCTTTTTATCTGATACTAGAGCAAGCGGTAAAATTTACATGAATAGAAAACTCGCCTTTGATATCGCTGAAAGAACAAACCTCTTCCTCGAACCCATCAAGCCTTGTATTATCTACAGTTACAATTAACAAAAGATTAATCCTATCATTCAACGTTTGAAAACAACTCTCACCATCGGTTATCACAAGTTCCTTGATGTTTACCTATATATTATAGAGGAATTAGCTTGTAATTTCATCATTGGAAGAGAGTGGTTAACACAACAAAAGGTATTATTGGACGTAGCCGGATCGAAGATCTTATAGCGCGGAGAACTCATGAATTCACCTGATAAAGAATCATCACGATCGACGAAAGGATCAACGCCCCAAAGAACCACACCTCATCGGATAGCATTGATCAACGTTGTCGGATATTGAATGAATACCCGAAACCAGAAGAATCAATGCTTTACAACTACAAGTTGGGAAATTGATCAGATCCTATACCAAAGGGAGCACTCTGTAGAAGATCGCTCAGAAGAAACAGAACTGGAAATGCTGCAACGAACTGTCCTTAAAGAATATTGTGATTTCATTGATCTCTTCTCCAAGAAAAAGGCAAATGCTTTACCCCCTCATCGGGATAACGATCATAAAATTAGATTGACACAACCCAACAACTTGACACTGTCTTCATTATATCGACAAACGACCCAGGAATTACAAGCTTTAAAGAAGTTCGTCGATGAGAACTTGAATCGGGGATGGATCGCTTCTAGTAACGCTTCGTTTGCTGTACCTATTCTTTTCGTCAAAAAGGCTAATGGGGATCTGAGATTATATATGGACTACCGGAAATTAAACGAAATCTCAGCCAAAGATGATTATCCGCTTCCAAGGATTGACGAGATCCTCTCGCAAATATCCAAAGCCAAAATCTTCACGAAACTCGGTCTACGCGCTGCTTTCAATGCTATTCGAATGTATTCTGATTCAGAGGAACTCACTGTGTTCCAAACTTGCTTTGGACAATTCAAATCGCTGGTTTTGCCTTTCGGATTGTCAAAAGGACCCGGGACTTATCAACGGTTCATCAATAATCTTTTGATGAAGAACCTGGGAAACTTCTGTACTGTATACCTGGATGATATCATTATCTACTCTACAGATCCATCAGAATATACTATTCAAGTCAGATGAGTATTAACCAAATTGAAAGAGGCCGGTCTATCTGTTGATATCAAAAAGTGCGATTTCTCGGTATCACGAATCAAGTATTTGGGATTCTACATATCGATAGAAGGCTTGGAAGTTGACCCTGAAAAAATCAAAGATATACTGATCTGGAAAAGGCCTACGATAATCAGAGGAATACAAGGTTTCCTTGGATTCTGCGGTTTCTATTGCAAATTTATCAAAAACTACGGACGGATCGCACGACCTTTGGATAAACTCATATAGAAAGGACGGACCTTCGATTGGGATCCGGATTGTCAGGAAGCTTTCGAAACGTTATGAAAGGCTGTTACAGAAACTCCGGTCTTGTATTACTTCCAATCGGATCGCCTCACTAAAGTAGAAACGGATTCTTTTGATAGTGTAACAGGAGGTATTCTCTCTCAATTGGATCCTGCGACAAAGGAATGGCATCTGTTAGCGTTCTTCTCTAAAACTATGAATTCTGCAGAATTTAACTATGAAATTCATGATAAGGAAATGTTGGCCATTCTGCAAGCATTTCAGCAATGGCGAGTGGAACTCCAAAGTGTCGAAAACCCAGTCCAAGTTTATTCTGATCATTAATCTCTGGAGATCTTTATGCGAACTAAAAAGCTGACAGCATACCAAGCACGATGGGCAGAATACCTTTCCCAATTCAACTTCCAATTGGAATACTGTACTGGAAAAGCAAATGGACAAGCTGATGCTCTGATCTGTCGTGATGGTGATATACAAAGCCAGAAGGAGCGAATGGAGGCCAATCGCCTCGGTACTCTCCTAAAGCCAACGATGCTCTCCCCCGAAGTGCGAACAGAAGTATTAGTGCCTCTCGTAGAAGATATCGATCCTGGTCTGGGACAGATGCTTCAACGACTCCTCTTAGGGAGTCTTCGAAGACTTCCTGAAACTCACACAGGCCTGGGCTGTTAGACCAAGGTTTCCACACACCTCCCGTAGCAAAATACGTATACACTGGGTCCCAAGGCACCTCGACATCCCGGACAACGAAATGGTTGACAAAGCAACCAAGGAAGGGGCAAAACTCTCCCCACCCCCTAATCCGATCTGTACACTGGCCTCCTTAAAAAGGCTAATCAGAACAAAGGCTACTAAAGCGGATGAACAACTTTGGAACACTGTCAAACCCCAGTATTACAAGGATCTCCAATATAAACACACTCCCAATACGAGCACCCTCTTTTTGAAGAGAGCTACACTTCATCACATCCTCGCAGCCAGATCATAGCACAGAGACTTCACAGCATACCACAAACGTTTCAATTATACCACAGCTAACACTCTATACCAATATAGAAAAAGGAAGATTCCATTATACTTCTTCTGTAAGAAAAAGAAAGCATACAAAACATTCACGAAAAGCCCACCATCTGAAGCCATCCCCTGGTTTCTAAGCACCTCTACAGATGCAATCGCACTTGCAGAATGGCTCGAATCCACCAAATTCTACACAGGAATCTGCCTACGGCATACAGCTGCTATATAAAAAAAAAGATAAAAAAAAAAAAAGCTATTTCATTATCAACAAACTATAGGGAGTAAATGGATACTAAGGGGTTTTCTCTCTCTCTTTTCCTTCTTTTCACTTTTCCTTTCCAAAAAAACAAAAAACAAAAAACAAAAATACAAGTAAACTCATAAGACAATTCAACAAAAACGTACGAGGGGAAGGGGGAGGGATCAAGAGTTAGTGATCCAGTGGACGAGGAAGACCACAATATTAACCACAAAGCCAATCGGCCCAAATCTCTCGCGAAGGCAATCATGTAAGCCCTGCCCTAGCCCCTTTAAATTGTATATAAATACTCTCCCTAGCTAGTTAGTAAACTACTCAGAGGCTTCTCCTCTGAGCGTCATTTGTCCAAAACTGGAATAGATGGCTAAGGTTGTCACGTGCCAAGGCACGCGCGGCCTACGGCCTATGACGATAAACACAATCAATCAATCAATCAATCTCTACTCTTGTTTTCCTTCTTCTTTTCTCCTTAGCTTAGTATTTTCTAATACAAGATACTTTACCCAGTATTCTTGAGTGTGACAATCGTTACAACTTCGTAGATACTACAGTTGAATGTGTTTTATTTCTATCTGGATATACTATATTTTGTTAGATTTTTTGTACTAGATATATTTTGAAGAGTGAGGAGTTTGTGAAACTAGTTTTTTTAGCTCTTGTCTATTTCTTGGGGGGATTTAGATAGATTTCTTGTGATTTAATTTTTAGTTTCTGATTTTTTGTGAATGTATCTGGTACTAGTACCTACTAGATATGTATCCGTTACGCTTCTCCTGATGTCATGGATGACCTAGGAAAGGGACTTTCTATCCACTTTGTAGGGTTAATCTTCCTAACTAATGAAGTAAGTGTCCATCTATGTATTTATCTACTAGGTAGTCATAAGTAGAGCTTACTATTCACCCAAAAAGGAGGATCAAAGATCTCTTATTTTGCCTGAACATCTAACTGCAGGTCTAGTTCCACCATCATTTATCCTTTTTAAAATTTCATAAAACTTTCAAGGAATCATATTGCTCAGTTCTAGATTATACATTCACATCTAATCTATAAATAAAGTGGACGATTTTGAGAGAATGTTTTTGATAGGTTGATATGCACCTTGGATGGTTTTCATCACTATATGGAGTTCAGGATTGTAGATGATTTGATGATTGTTTTTGGTGATAAAGTATTCTAGATACCTACCTAGGTACTTACTTACCTAGTGATTGATATATTTGGAATTATGTGATGGGAAGTTTCTGTCATATTGGAAGTATGAGTAAGGTTATTAATATCTTTTTAATTTTTTAATCTAATGATCGTATCGCTTTTCGTTGAGAGATATCGATGTATATATCTCCGAGTGCTGTCTATTGCGAGATTATAAAAGTTTGCTTACTAATGATGCAAATCTTCTTCCAGCCCTTCTTACCTCACCTCAAGCTTTACTAGCACAGTCCTCCCGCTAACACCCTGTAACACAACGTCCAGAACTGGATACTTTCCGCAACCAAACCACTTTAGAGTCTAAAACTCAAAAACATCAAAACGAGCACACAACACATCAAATATTGTGTTCCATCACTCATTTTCCTGGCCAAACTCAACAAACAACAAACCTCTCCCAGAAAGTAATATATCAGCAAATGGGAATCGACTTTGTCATTACGAGTACATATATTCCCATCATCTAGGAAAATTCGCGACATCTTTAACCTTCGCTTTCCTTACCTCTCAAATTCTGGGAATATCTCCCATGATATCGACGAGGCTGAGCCAATCCACAATTGTCAGCAAACCTCCTCATTCCATCCACCCCCTTGAACGACATTCAACTTAATATCCATTCATCGAGAGCATCAAAAATATATCGCAAACCCTAGTAAAGCCATCCGGCTATCGCTCTATTGCTTCTTCCTACAACAAATACTTCACCACATAATCTCCCTTCATTCATTCATCATGAAGAGTCGACCTCCTAGGATGCCTCTCATCAACTCCGGATTTCCATCTCGTGCGACTCCTGAAATAGGTGATGATTCGCATTCATCGACAAGTAATTCACCTGCGCGTGCTGATTACGAAGAATCCGATTTCTTTACCGGCAACAACGATTCGCAGTCTTCAATCGGCGTGCCAACTTTCCAAGATATGGCTGTTACAGAGACTTGTATAGCGGCATCGAACAGACTACCGGCAGAAGTTCTCATCAACATATTCTCGAAACTCACCCATCCAAACGACCTTTTATCTTGCATGCGAGTATCTAAAAAATGGGCTAGGAACAGTGTTGATTTATTATGGCACCGGCCCGCATGTTCGACGTTTCCGAAACTTGGGCACATCTGCAACACGCTTACTTTGGAGAACCCTTACTTCGCATATCGAGATTTCATCAAAAGATTGAATTTGGCCATTTTAGCAGACCGCGTCAGTGATGGAACCGTTCAACCTCTTTCCGTATGCACAAGGGTGGAACGATTAACATTAACCAACTGCGAGGGTATCTCAGATAGCGGATTGACTGGACTCATTACTGATAATAGTCACCTACTTGCTCTTGATATTTCCGGAGTTAAACAAATCACCGATACTTCCATGTTCACTTTGGCGGAGCACTGTCGTCGATTACAAGGTCTCAATATTTCACAATGCGTTGGGATTACCTCTGAATCTATGGTGAAAGTGGCAGAAAGTTGCCCCCACCTTTAAACGTGTAAGTTATCACAGGTTGATTCAAGATTTATACTGACATAAATTTAGCTTAAATTAAATGAATGTGAGCAATTAGACGACAGAGCTATCATGGCATTTGCTGAAAATTGCCGTAACATCCTCGAAATCGATCTCCACCAATGTAAATATATTGGAAATGACCCGGTCACTGCCCTCCTCACGAATGGAAACGCTCTTCGAGAACTTCGATTGGCGAGTTGTGAAAAGATCACTGATATGGCATTCCTCAACCTACCTCATAAAGCGACATATGATCATTTACGGATATTGGATCTCACAAGCTGTCATGGTCTCACAGATGCTGCCGTCGAGAAGATTATTACTGTTGCTCCAAGATTGAGAAATTTAGTGTTTGCAAAATGTAGACTCTTGACAGACCATGCAGTCAATTCCATTAGCAGGCTGGGGAAAAACCTTCACTACCTTCACCTTGGACATTGTGGACAAATCACTGATACTGCTGTTATCAAGCTTGTTCAAGCATGCAATCGTATTCGTTATATCGATTTAGGTTGTTGTGTTCACCTCACAGATGCATCCGTCACAAAGTTAGCCACACTCCCAAAATTAAGGCGTATTGGTCTAGTCAAGTGTTCGGCTATCACAGATGATAGCGTTATAGCATTAGCTATCGCGCAAAAACAACGACAAATAAATCACCACCGAGGACATCACATCGACGATGCATCCTATACTGGAAGTTGTCTAGAAAGAGTACATCTTAGCTATTGTACTAATTTAACACTTTCGGTAAGTGGAAGATTAACATGATTGATGGCTTGTTGCTAATGACAAGATAGAGCATAATTTTACTACTTAAGAATTGCCCGAAATTGACTCATTTGAGTTTGACTGGCGTTCACGCTTTTCTTCGGCAGGATCTCGAACAGTTTTGTAGAGATGCCCCAGCAGGTAAATTCTTTCCTTCTCATGCTTATCTTTTATTTATTGACAATTTTAGAATTCAATGAACATCAACGCAATGTATTTTGTGTCTTCTCCGGACCTGGTGTGAATGGTCTACGTAATTTTCTGGTTCGAGATGAGCGACCAATTAGCAACGAGGACGAAGATGACATTGTTATTGATCAGGGTATCCATGCATCAACCATTCCAGACGCTGATGACGACCGAACGATGACTGGCATGATGAACGCTACTGGACTAAATAATGAGGAAAACGACGCTGATGACGACGAAGTTTTAGATGATCAGCAGTTCCCAGTATTTCCATAGTACTCATATTGTGTTTCACGTAGGCCGATGTCTAAAGCACCTCATTAACTATTCTTCTAAGGATAAGAGGCATACAATCAATTCGAATAGAGGTCAGCGAGCGAGCATTGACATATCCGATCATTGGGAAAATGGAGTTTAGGAGTGGGCAAGGTTTAATTATGGACGAACATACCCATTTCATTACGAATCAGTTTTCGTACACCAATCTGTTTTGGAATGGACTGAATGCATTATGATTGCCTTTACGGTACATGGATATCATTTTCTTAAGCGAGGGAAGTGGGGATAGTAAAGGTTTATTATTTGTATATACGCATTTCTTGGCGCTTGGGATGGACGTTGATGATGGATTTGGAGGGATTCTTTCGCGTTTCTAATGGGGTGTAACTTGGGATGGGGTGGGAGGAGGTTAGGTGTTTTGAGAATTTGAGGGTAGGAGGTAGGGCTGGAGGAACAATTTTATTATATTGTTTGATTCTTCTTGAGTGATTATCCTCGAGATTGGGGATTCTTAAAGATTCGGGATTCCTAAAGATTCGGGATTCTTAAAGATTCGGGATTCTTAAAGATTCGGGATTCTTACAGATTCATGCAGATTCATGCGGACTCGTACTTGTTGTTGATTATGTCTAGATTAGGATATTATTTCTTTGTGGGAGTGAGGAGGGGAGTGAGTGAGTGAGTGAGTGGAGAGTAATTGATACGTGGTATTGGTCTCATATGCTTTTTATTGTTTATTGTGTATGTTTATGTGTATGTTTATGTGTATGTTTATGTGTATGTTTGTGTGTATGTTTATGTGTGTGTTTATGTGTATGTTTATGTTTATGTGTATGTTTATATATCTATATATCTGTTTAATATTTAATACTTTATCTATCCCTGCATAAAGATGAA